CCCTAATAAAATGATCTATTAAAAAATAAGTCCTGTTCCTCCTTTTACAGGCTCCCCTGTTTCTGGTAGTACTATCAATCAATGATGCCATGGTTTTTCTACATCATTAGGTTTAAAAGTCAATAGCATTCAGTTATCAAACCTTTTTTTTTTTTTATCAAACCTTTTTTATTCTTTCTTTGGGATGTCCAATAAATCAATTTCTTCCTACCTATTACCTTGGCCACCACTCTGGCCTACACCTCAAGCTTTGATTAGAGCAATAGTCTCTCTTCTGATAACTAGACAAGCGTTCCTAGAACAGGGCTTTACATGTTGTTCACCCTCTATTAACACCCTTTCATGGAGCCCCAGAAGTTTAAGACCTCTGTTTCTCCCTCTGCTCCCCTGTGTGAGACCTCTGTTCTAGCAAACTAGTTTTCTTATTATTATGTTTTAAAGCCTTTTGACACTAAACTTCTTTAAGATGTTTACCATTCCTGACCTTCCCTGCTTTTTTCCTCTTAGCTAAATTTTACCTTTCTTCAGAGACTAATTCAAGTCCCATCTCCATGGTTTAAGTGACTTCCATGGCCACATGTGTGATGACAGTATCAGAACTGAGACAAAATTCTGATCTCCTGACTTCTAATCCAGTACATTGTCACCATATTATGCTGTTGCTTATGTAATTCATTTTGCATTTGCTAGCTGGGCTAATGCTTGTCCTTTATGATTATATATTGATTTCAGGTGGTCCAGAAGGAACTGGAGTGCTGTCAACCGTACATGGCATAGGGAATCATTCAATAAAAGTTTGTTGAGAGGAGGGGGGAGCAGGGAGGGAGGGGACAAAAATGAGGAGCTGATACCAAGGGCTTAAGTGGAGAGCAAATATTTTGAGAATGGTGAGGGCAACAAATGTACAAATGTGCTTGACATAATTGATGTATGTATGGATTGTGATAAGAGTTGTATGAGTCCCCAGTAAAATGATAAAAAAAAAGTTTGTTGAGAAGCACAATGGCATCCTCCTCTAGCTCTATTTTAGAACGTGGGACCTGGCTTATGGTGCAAAGGGCTTGTTGGTGGATTGAGCATAAGTAATGAGGATGCATATGTGCATACTCAAAGAACCTCCTTTCCAAGAACCTGCCCAGGGGCCTCCTTACCCCTTTTGAGTCTTTCTCCCTCTTGTTTTCCAGCAACTATTAGATCTGAATTTATGTGAGTCATCCTAAATGGGTATGCAGAAGTAGCATACAAATGAAATAAAAGGGTTATTTCCAAAGCCAGGCAAGAAAGAAGGAAATCATTTCTCGTATGTCTTTCTAAGAAGTAAAGGGGATCAAGTCCGACAAAACAGATTGACTCTGAATCCTTCAGGAGTGCCTCGTCGTTTTGATACAGTGAAACGGCCATGATGTTATATTTATAGGAAACTCACGAACTGGCAGGTAAAGTGTGTGAAGCTGTTTTTCGTCTGGAGAGCTTTGAAAGCGTCTGTGTCCTTTCCCAAGAAGCATGATGAAGAAGCTTCTCCCATTTATTTCCCATCCGGAAAAAGAAATAGTTAAAAACCTATTAAGGGTTTCATAGGATTAGGGGCACGGATTGAAAACGATCTTCTCAGGACAGAAGGAAAGGTCGGGGACCAGTCTCGGAGAAATTTCAGGTAACGGAGATCCTACTCGTTGGATGTTGAGTTCGGATGTCGGGGGAGGGAAGGTGGCCAACAAATGCTGAGCCACCGTTACCATGGTTTCCACGCAGCTTCTCTTCCGAGTTTCCGCTCCTTTGAGGCGCGCTGCGGATGCCGTAGTTTCCGCTTCCGGCCGCGGGCGGCGCCGGGTCGTGGGACGCTGCGCGCGCGGGTGAGCTGCTCGCCTTGGGCCGGGGGGCGGGGAGAGGGGCGCCCCCGTAAGGCCCGTGGGCTCGCGCTGGCCCCCTTGCTAAGGCTGAGCTCCTGCCACCCCAACCCCTTCGCTCCGGTCCCGAGCGGGGACGGCGAGGGGAGCGGCCCTGCGGCGTCTCCGCCTGGGTCTTCCGGTGCCAGGGACGCCCTCCTACCCCGTCTAGGCTTCCTTCGGACGGGGTTTGTGTTGCCCGTGGGAAGGAGGAAATGTGCCTGTCTTTCTTGGGTGAGGCAACTTGCACGTGCCCTTCTTTATCACGTTCCTGGGCACGTTGCACATCCTGATCCTGAATAAACCACGTAGGAGCGCTTGTCATCTGTTTTGTTTGTGTTTTAAATGGTCTCTGTACTCGCCCTTTCTTCGTCATCGTTTAGGGACAGTGGAGTGAAGACTTTCAAATCCAAGGTCATGGCAAAACATCTGAAGTTCATTGCCAGGACAGTGATGGTACAGGAAGGAAATGTGGAAGGGGCCTACAGGACCCTCAACAGGTAATTGTTAAGGGAGCAGATTCATCGGTTGTGGGAGATAGCAGTGGTACTTTCCTTTCCCCTATTTTAAATTGTACCCAAACCAGTGCCAGACTGGATGGTCATGAACTCTTGAAACTTCTGTTCTCAGTTTGTTACTTCCCCAAACCTAACCCTTTAAGAATCTTATTCAGTAAACAGTTGTCATTTTTAAACTATACGTGAATTCGATTCAGAAATTGAAGTTAGTCCAAAGAGAAAATCAAGATGTGAAGTTACTCGAGTTTAACCAAGGAAGGAGACCGGTACTACATAGTAGACAGAAAGACAAGGGGAAGATTGGTGTGGGACAGAATTAAGTAAGAGGAGTTTTGTTGGAATTCTGGAGAAGCAAGCTAGAGATGGGAGGCATGAAAGGTTCTCAGGAGGGTTACAGCGGAAGCAACAATGTATAGAAGGAAATGAACTGACAGGTGGAGGAGCTGGATTGAAATGTTTACAATGCTAGGTTTAGATTTAGAATGGACCTTATAAAGACTCTCACCACTGTAGTTTCTTTCTCAAAAAAATTCCTTACCCTCCGCCACATTCACCATTTTCTCTTTCTAGGGCTAAGTGGGTTTGATGTGATACTTTTGCTTGTGTTGAATTGTCAAAAAAAAATTGTACGAAAGTACTTTTAAGAGATTGCATAGGATTGCCAAACAGCTGAGGTAGGTAATGAGTTGCTAGGTGTGGGGGGACTCAGGGCCATAGCCTTGGAGGACACTGTGCTTAGTTGGCACAGCATAGTCCACAATAAAATGACCTAAGTCCTACTTTGGTGAGTAGTGACCCAGGGGGTCTTAAACCTTGTAAAAGGCCATCTAGGGTGGAAGTATTGGTCTTCCTCTGCCTGGAGTTAAGAATGAAGAAAATCAAAGATGCATGTAAGCAATTAGCTCAGCTGCCACAACCCTGAGACTAGAAAACTGTCACAGCTAACTGCTCTAAAAGGGATCACATTAAAAGGTCTTTGATAAAATTTCTTCAAAAGATCTTTGATACAGTGGGAGAAAAATGTGGAACATAACTCAAAATCATAAAGTAGACCAGGCTTGCTGGTCAGACATGGAAACTGGTGGATCCCCTCACAGTATGGTCCTTCTTCACCCTTCGGGTCTGGAACTGCCCTTGCCCTGGCGGGCTCAGTTTTCAACTAAACAGTAAGTCTGACAGGGGAATCGTGGTAATAGGGAGGTATGCAGTCCTTAGAACAAAGTTCAAAAGGTAAGAAGTATTAGGAAAAAAAGAGAAACAGAAGCAGATAACACAGTAAAGAAGTGAGATACATGGAGCACAGCATGG